ACTGTATGGGTCAATGTACTTCCTGCTACAGTCTCTGTTCTCGAACCGAAGGCACTTATTCTTGATAAGACAAATTCCACTCTGTTATTCCTTTAGTCCTAGCGGTTCAATACCTTCTGCCCATCCTATATATGCCCTTTCTATCCCCTCTGTAGCCTGATCGCGTGGTACTTACCGTGGGTACAAATCAGATTATGTGTCCACAGTAGATCGCATCCTTGAGGTTAGATTGCGTGTCGACATGATTGCACCATGTCGATCCACTCCAATGATTACGTAATCTGCATAGAGTATGACGTAATCACTGACACGTCGTCATCGACCACGAGTCTCAGAGCTAAATCGGGTCCTTTTTCATCAATCAGTCCCTTGTACCCAGAAGCCAACTGTCACTTCACCACAGACGCACGCCTCTGCGTCGACGTCTGAGGCCGCTCCTCGCTTTGAGTAGCTTGACCAAGGTAGGTCTGCGAGTCAGCAACCCCCTGCGGATCATGGTACCGCTTAAGACGTCCAACATAGAACGTCGGGTGCGTCGTCATTGACTTTGGTAGGTCGATGGTGTATAACGCACCATGTCTGGCAAGGACTGTGAACGGCCCTATGAAGAGGTGCTTCAACTTGTTACTGCCGACAGAGCTGACGGTGTCAACCGGTAAGTTTCTAGTGTCGAGTAACACTAATTTACCCACTTTGGAAACGTTTAAGTTTCCTCTTCCATGTTTGTTTGAGTACTTCTTTTGTCTGTCCTGGGCCGCTGCCATGACATCGCGGACCCTGCTGATCACAATCAGCTTGGTGTCTATAAAGGACTCCACTTGTTTCCGCAGAGAAACCGGTCTCACATCCGAGACCTGGGAGAAAAGGACTTTCCGAGCCTCTCCCCTACTTAAAATAGAGGACGTGTGGCTCCTCGTAGAGTGAGTGGCACTCTGGGGTGACGGAAGCCGTTCAGGTAGAACGGCGTAAACCCCGTAGACGCGTGTACAGCGTTGTTGAGCGCAAACTCAACAACTGGGAGCTGTGTCGACCACGTACGTGGGGCTCCAGCGCAGACACTGCGCAGAGTG